TACAAAAAAAAAACTTGAATAAAAGTGTAATTTGTTTACTGGCTAAATAAATTCATTGAATCCCGAAGAAGCTTTCGACGATTCCGAATATTGTTCTCTTCCGATTGGCAAAGTTACTGGAAAAAAATTCTGTGCCTATATTAAGTCACGTTGTTGGTAGCTATCAGCATCAAAGCGCACATAAGCACGGTGGCAGGCTGCCTATGACATTATTAAACTCAAGCGCATGTCTGCTCGAGTGACGCTAAAAACTACGTGACCAGGTTGCACAATTGAAATTTCCTCTGAAAAATCGCCTGCCCAAAATTCAGAGCGTATCCTGAACGAATAAAGAAAAAAATAGCTAGGGAGTCCGCGGACCACTCCGTGGAGCGGCCCGAATAAATTATGTTGATAAAACTTTCAGTTTGAGTGTTATACGCTCGACCTGCCGTTCCTCTTAATAATCATTTATTTTAATTTTAACCTCTTGTGATTGCCAACAATATCACTATCAGGTTTGACAGTATTTTTAACTGCATTCCTATAAAGTTGCTGATTTATCTAATAAATTATGCAGTTATTACAACTATGTTTATTAATATTTTCAGTTTAAACGGTATGGAGATTTTCCCCCCATAATTAATTTATTTTTATTAATGTTTTATCGAAGTCGGGAATCTTTACATGGACGCATTTAATTCAGCATTTCAAAAGTGATAAACCTGTTTATTGAATATGAAAAGAGCTTTAAGCTTACCATATATCCACAGTATTGCATCTTAAAATTCACATATAATGTATCGTAAAATGAGCACTGTACGGTGGCAGCTTGTATCAACGTATCGCAAGATAAACGAATGGCCAGTAAAGTTCACGTCGAATAAAATGATTAACTTTATACGACCGTTTCACGGTTATTAAACCCACCCATCGCTGCCGCTCCCCATGAAATGAAACTGGAGACGCATTAATTCAAGTGCAACACGAAAAATGCATTAGCGGCCAGAGAACACCATTCGTCATTGTCCTGCAATATCTCGTTCGAAATGTCTCGATGGTTTTACAAAAATTACTGAAAATAGTGTAGAACATAATTTTATTAAAAAATTTTATTATATGATCTGCGTCCAAAAAAAATATCATATCAATAATTTCAAATTAAAAAATAGTGTTTATGATTTCTTTTTTTCTTCCTAATTAAATTTTGTTATTAAACAGTTATATCTAGATATTTTTGTTTAAGGGCTTGTTAACTATTTAACGGTGTTTAAATTGTTATGTCAGTGTGAGGGCTGCTTCTTTTTAATTTAGTTCATTACTAGACTATCATGTAATGATACTATGTTACCAGGGCCTGCTTAGGATGTTGCCACAAGAAGGAAGCATACGGGTGTTATCCGGTCAATAGCATTGTACGATACATCGGTATGGGCGACGGCTCTCACTGGCCCCAATTAGGGCGCGCCTCTGGCGCCCTCAGAGAGTATTGGCGCATTGGCCGCTTGCTGAGCTACGATACTGCTGTCACGCACGGCTGTCGTACACTCCATGGCCGATAGCGAAATATGTTTTAAGGCGTCACATCCTTCTGCGAAGAGGCGATCTCGCAAGAGGCGGCGGTGCGGTTCGTGAGGACACTCGGACCCAATTCGAGCGAGCCGGGCGGCGGAGGCGCGCCTGCCAGCACTCTATGCCGACCTGAGTATGGCCGCGGGTGGACAGCCGTCGCAGCGTTGTAATGAGAGATGAATTCTGTTACGTCTTATTTCTCATTTAGTTACCAAATACCAATAGCCATTGTTATTTATTGTTCTGTGTCTGGATGTAATTTATCTATAATATGTATATATTTAAAAATATATAAGTATGTTTACAGGCAGTCTGGTTACCACAGTACAGGCTCTGCCTAGTTTGGGATCAGACGGCCGTGTGTGAAATGAGTGAAGATATATTTAATAAGCTGTGTTTTTTTGGAATATTTGATGATGTCTCTGGTGGCTTCGAAGTAAAATAATTCTGATCTACGGCATTAGTAAGTACCCCTATTCTTGTACCTGTGTATCGCAGAGGTATATATTATATACTTATTGTTATAAAACTGGGATAGGGATAGAGGAAATATATACCCATTTCAATACGTAACAAAACAAATATTTAATTACCTATTAAAAAAACAATAAGGTGCGGCATGACTGTTATTGAATGGGACCAAATTGAAAAGAATTTGTAACCTTGTCTTTAAAATTTATTATGGAAGCTTTACAGTATATTGTAAATTATTAATTTCATTATTGATACTTCAAAAATATTATTGCGTTCACTAAACCATTACTTTTCAAATGTTAAGCGCCGCTCTGTTTGATCTCAGATTTTCAATTACAAAACTCAATTTGATGCCCTTTTTTCTTTATATCGCGTCAAAAATACTTTTATAGACTTACTTATTATGGCACCTATATGCTTTATTATTACTTTTTATGATGTTTTGCATTGAAATTACCTTTCTCTGGAAAGTCTGACTCATCTTAAAGCTTGTAATGAAACTTATGTCGCATTAACTCTAGGTATTAATTGTCTCGGTGGTGCTGTGGTAACGTATGCGATGGCTGTGCTGAGGTCTCGGGTTTGATTCCAGGGTCGGACCAAATTTTTGTATGATCTGCAAATGTTTGTTTTATGTTTGGGTGTTTTCTTTGTAGAAAATGTAAATATGGTTTTACAAAAAAAAAGTATATGAGTATTCTTTCAGTCAATCTAGCTTTCATACGAGTATTACAAGCTCTGCTTAGTTTGAAACTAGTTGGCACTGTGTGTCAATGTTCGAAAATATTATTATTTATTATTAATTATGGGCTTGGCATTTATCAATTTATTCTGAGTAATATTATTTAATCAAGTAATAATGTACGAATAGTTGACCATCATCATTCTGAATATTAATATTTGTGTCTGAGTTAACTCATGATTCATCTTAAAGCAGAAGCACGAAATTATGAAATAATTATTCAGAAAATATATGCCTAAATAAAAAGTTAATGCTCAAGTAACTTCAATGCATTTATGTTGGACCACAACCACGTTGGGTTCAGAATTCGAATACTCATATGCTAACGTAAAAAAATAATCAAGAAATGGATTTAGTTGGAGTCTTTCAACTAAATTCATTTCTTGATTGTTTATTTACTGAGAATATGTTACAGTCACTATATTTTTGAAAATAGTAACTAATTAAGAATTATCACTTAAAAAAGTCATAATAGTTTTGATAAGGTTTTGATAGCAACACATTTGATATTATTTCACAATTTATTTTCTAGCAGAAAATGAATACACAATTTATTTACAATTAGTTTTCAATTATTATTGAATATTGCACTATTGCAAAAGCTTTGCACTTGAAATGAAAAACACAATAAGATTTCATTAAGACATTTATTTCAATATATTTCATAAATTACACATTTATTGTCAAAGTCAACGTAATATTAGCACAAGGTTTCGAGATAAGTTAAAATAATAATGAATATCGATCATTTATTTGAAATGTCTTAACAATATTAGCTAGTGCTTATGTAGTACACTTACATTAGTCAGTTAAATTTATGTTAATAGAATGTTACATTACAAATATTTTGTTATATGCGAGCACTTTTAAAGACGTCTACCCTTCTCGGATGCGTCTCAATTTAGTAGTGGGATTGTCTTCTAGAGAACGTCTTTAATAACGCACGCTCTTGAAATCTGGTAATAACAGTCAATACTATCTTAGATACTTATGAAATGTACCTTCCATGTAACTTTATTTTTTAGTTTCATAAGGTAATTCTTATATAATATATGATCACATTCAAAGATTATTTTTGGCGCATAATTAATTACTTTGGAATGGAACAAAGTGAAACGTCTACCTATATATTTTTGTCCAAAATCGGAAGCAACTAAATTCTAATAAATATTAATTACTTTGTATAATTCAGATGCTATAAATATATCTTCACATTGCATTTATACACTCTCAGGCTTCTTTTAAGAAAAAACACTCTTATTTCGTCTCAAGACAGCTTAAAAAAGTACTTTTTTAATGGAACGCATCATTGTGTTAAGTTTCGGTTCTGCCGAAGATAAAGCATTTTAGTTGAAGCTAAGGCAATCTGAAAAAGGCTTCCTTGGCGAGCTTGCATACTACTCAGTTGTGGATAGGAAGTTGGGTTGGTCGTAAATGCATGCTAAAAATCAAAATTAAAATTCACAGATACGCGACTGAAAACATGTGAATTTGTCTACAGGCTAAAAAAACATCTTACTCTGACAGTCAGTTAAAATGAGTGAGAATGTTACATAAAATATCGTTAAAAATATGCAGCAGGAAGTTGAAAGATCCATAGATAATAAAGATTTATTTTACTACAAATTATGTTGGTCAAGACCAGAAAGGATTTTTTTTTTTTAATAATGCTGGAGAGACGGTTTCCTTTGAGTCGTATTACGTTCAATACCTTCAGTACCTTAAGTTCTTGGTCAGATGGTTTCAGTTGGTTCAGATCAAGAAGTAAAGAAATGTAAATATTTTAATGAATAACTACTCTTGTATTCAAAATCGCAACACATTGTTTCTTAATAATTATTTTACCGCTACAACTTCGAAATTGTGAATATTATTATATTAATTCGAGGAAAATAAAAAAGGACAGTTATTGATTTAACCACCATCTGCAACTACATTGTGACAAATATTTTATTTACAAAAAGTAACGTACGGCCGTGCATGGTCAACCATGATTGCACTACATAACCTAATGTAAAATATTAGTTTGCATTCTAAAGAGTTCCCCAGTAATTGAACAACAAAGACTAAAACAGGTTCAATAAAAATATAAACGATATTACGCGGTAAACAGTTGCCTGAAATATTTATACAATAATTCTTGTCGGGGTCCAATTATGCTACCAAATTCCTTGACGTTTTTGTATAGAATTGTCGTGAATTTTAAACCTTAGAAGAAGAACCTTTTTAACGTTTAGAAGGTATGTATGTATCGTATGACAGTAAGGAGAAGAGCGTAGAGCTGCGGCGGTAGGTGTTGTGTGAGGCAGTACTGCGCGTGAGAAGCCGCAGGTCGAGCGCGCGCTGGAAGGTTGCGGGCGCGCTGCCATGCCGCACCTGACACCATTGGTTCTTCAGCCCCAAACCCGTTCATGTTCAACTCTAATTCTGTAAGTAATTCAAAATATACTGCACGTACTCTAGAATTGTTTAGTATTAAGTTTCATTTTGTTAAAATGAAAATGTGTTTTTTGTCCCTACGTAAGTTGCATATTAATTAGTAGTTGATATCGCCGATGGTGTTGACCAACAAGCCAATAAATTTTGTACAATGGAAAGTAGGCGTTTCTATTTTATTAACAGCTTTGTACAAGGATGACATTTTTAAACTTTTAAATATTTTAATATCTGTGCCCTATATCTATCCAAAGTACATTTTCTAGTCGCCCCTGTCTGATACAAACCCCATACTCATTCCATCACGACTTGAATACCTGAGCTAAGTTATTAGGTTATCTATAATTCTTGTAAACACTTGTCAATCAATAAAAAATTGTTTCATGTGAAGTTTAAATTCTATATCTCAAATATTCTGACCCATAACCTCAATGTAAATCCAACGTAATGCCAATCCAGTTCCCATCAATTCTATACACGACACTAAAGAGGTTCAGTTTTCTGTACGTAAAGTTAACTGTGAAAGTACCTTTATCAAACACATATATAATAACATCGACCACTTACTATGCAAACTAACTTGGCTCTCCATCTTTCCAAGCGCATTGACAGAGGCGCATACATAAGTTCCGTAGTCTCCGAGCGCGAGGGACTTTATCGTCAAGTTTATCCACAGCGAATACTCGTTCATTACCGTTTCTGATACACGTAGCTTCGGATCCTCTGACAATTTGTCGCTTAATAGTGCTGTACAGAAAACAAAGTATTAGTGTGAGCTTGTAACCTGCTAAATCTAAGTGAACGTTACTTTTCCCCTGTAACAATTTGTGAGGGCAACAATTTTGTTGTTAAATGAGTTCAAATCTGTCAACCCATATCGGCTTAATTGGACATACGCCGAGCACTCTTCCAGTAAGACTTGTTGTACATTGTCCGAACTTTAAATTTAATGTTATGTCATGTGTAATAAGGTTCTGTGCAAACAATCTTGAATTGGTTGCAATTAACACTGGGTACTGGTACTGGTACTGGCAATTAACACTGGGTACTGGTTTTGTTTAAAATCCTTTCCAACAATGTTCCGAGTGTGATATAACAGAAAACAAAAATGTAAAAGAATATTGTAATTATTAACTAAATAAAAACATCTGTGCTCTTACTCCTTTGTTCTTTAAAGAAAATTGTTTAAATGATTTACTATTTAAAAGTATATGATTTTACTTGTAACTGCATGTGAGTAAGTTTACATTCATCAATCAAAACGTTAAACGCGATCACCGTCACGATTGAGTAGAAGTGAAATAAACTCTCACTTAGGCCTCTGGTCATAAAGTAAGATTCCAACGTAAGTTTTAAAAGAATAGGAAAATTGGAATACTTACAGTTACCGTCTTCCCTGTACCAGGAATTCATAGCCTTGGGCGAGGCTTCGATGTAGCACTGGAGCTCAACATCACTGCCGAGGGGAGCGCCAACTAGCTGATTTGTCACCTTCACTTGGGGTATGACTGTTATAATAGAACGATTATTTTAAAATTTACACAGATTTGATAATAAAACAATCAGAATAATTGTTTTGGAATATATACAACAACAACAACATTCTGATTCATTGGAATCACGAAACACAGAAAACTTAGTGCGAAAATCTTTATGAGGAAACTACTCATCAGGCACACGTAAGATTCTTAGCCCTCTTAGCTAAACGTAATAACCAAATTAATTAGAAGACAATTTAAAGGATGGTGGTAAAAAACAAGTCTCAAGATTGTTAAATATTTTAGTAAACACTCACAGTGCACTTCTACGTGGTAACGCCGGCTGACTGTCGGTGGGATGCCGTTACTTGCGATGCAGTAATAGGCACCCATGTCGTTTCGCTGAACATGACCCAGCTCTAGAGTCTCACCCCTGAACATGTCAACCACTATAAACAAAATAAAACATAAACATTTAAAACAACATCAACGCATAGATATTACTATTGTTATTAGTAGCAATTACACATATGCCTAACTGCTTTTAGATAATCGATGATATTTGATATTTAATGTAATATATTGTTAACGAATCGAACCGAAGGTCTACTAAACTATCCGTTATGTGATTTCATTGGCAGGGCAAGCACATTTCTTGCTTGCAAGTTTTATTTAGGTTTTCTTCTACCATAAATATTCTCGAATCAAATGGCAAATAATCACATTGTGATTATTTGCCATTTGATTCGAGAATATTTGGTAGTGGTTTTCTGAAAATTTATTTTTTATTCGAATAAAAACATTACTTTTATTAATATCGATTTTGTAGTGAAAACCGATTAGTTTCCCTTTACCAAAGTTCCTACAAGTTTAGATCCCGTGCTACGTCAAGCCCACAGATTTAGTATTTTACATAGTATTAAAAAAGATACGCAATCAGCGAGAGAATTACACGTAATGTCATGTTGATTAGATGCCTCTTTATTGTTATACGTGAGGTATAATAATAATAAATTAAATATCAAGACCCTACACAATCGGGAGATATGCAATCTCAGAGAATATTTTCTACATACCGATGTGGGAATGCATCGCAATGTAGTTGCAGTGGATATCGGATTCACCCCGCTCGCTCTGGCTAAAGAGAATTGGCGCAAACCTGTAGTATTTAGTACTAATGATCGTAGGGAAGTATGGAAGGGCAAAGAGCTCCATGGCCGGTTTTATCGGGCCCTAAACGGGTCCGATATAGACTTTAAAGCATCTACGACTTGGCTACGGTATGGTGATCTCTTCGGAGAAACTGAAGGTTTTGTTTGTGCGATTATGGACGAAGTTATCATGACGAATAACTATCGGAAATATATCCTGAAAGATGGTACGGTTGACATCTGTCGGGCATGACGAGAATAATAATAAACATTTATTTGCGAATATGGGTACAATAATAAAGTTGTTACAAAGGTAACTTTCGTTCCTTCATATTCCACCTTGTGGTATGCAAATATTTCAATATACTTTTGTTTATATTACAATTTCACTAAAACATTTCAAACATCATCTAGACATAATTCATGAGTCACGTCTATATAAAAATTACATAAAAAAATAAAAAGTTAATGTCAAAATTTGCGTCAAAATAAATTACAATAATTATTATGTCAATTAAATAGTAGATCATGAGTCAAATTAACTAAATTGTAGTAAATAGAATTTAAAAAAGAAAAGCATATGTAATGTTTATATTAAATATTTGTCTTCTAAGTATTCCTTAACACTGTAGTATATTTTTTGTTGTAACATAATCTTTAATTTAAATTTAAATTCACTTATGCTATCTAATTTACATATATTCACAGGAAGTTTGTTGTAAATCCTAGATGACATACACAATATGCTTCTATTTACAAGCCATGTTTTATTAGGCATCGTTTTTATTTTATATTCATGTCGACGGCCATTTAAATGAGTGAATAAGTGCATATTTTTTTTTACAAACATAGCCACCTCCAATATATACATGCATGGGAGAGTGAGTAAATTAAGACTTTTAAAAATTGGTTTACAGCTGTCAGTAGTCTTAAGTCTATAAATGGCTCTAATACATTGCTTTTGTGCTTTAAAAACATACTCCCAGTTAGTAGAGTTTCCCCAAAAAATTATACCGGCATATGCATGATATGCTGCATATGCATGATAAGTATGTATTAGGTACTTATATTGGATTAAGGATTTTGTAATACTTATTGTTAATATATGTTAAGGTGTTTCGATATATACAAAAAATTGAAATAAATTCATCATTCATCCATCTACAGACGAGTAGACAACCCCCCCCCCGTGTGGGAACCCCATGATCCCTCTGCTCCCTGGAAGTGAGCGTGCTTCGCAACGCGCTCGCCGCCACCCCGGCTTGCTTCTGCTAGGGTGACAGATGGCCTCGCCTGTCACCCCCAGGCCTGCGCTTATGGAGGACGGAGGTCGTTCTGCGACCTCCGGCGCCTGAGTCGCCTGCGGTACCTGGCCCGTTCCCGGGCCTGGCGGGCCGGGAGAGTTCTGACCCTCTCCCGGTCCCGCTCCGCCGTCTCCTTCGCGAGCATAACTTGCTCGCAGAAGGAGACGGCAGAGTTCCACGCACTCTTGCTCCGCACGATAGCCGCAATCAGGCTATCGAGCGAGACAACTCCCACTCCGATGGCTGCCACGAGGTCTCGCGTCTGCTCAACCCACGCCCACTGGGCACTCTGCCAGCGTGTGGAGAGCCGTGTCCACGGTCTGGCCATCGCAGTGGTGGCACTCAGGCGTTGGCTCCTTGCGGATCAGACACAGGTGATACCACTGATATATTATTTGACTGTTGTTTTGTAACTTATAAATACGCGTTTACCTTACGTCTAACTAAGTAAGAAAACTGGAGAAGCGTATATCTACCTTGCACTCAGAGGGTTCCGTATAATCATTTTTTTGATGGAAGAGGGAGCAAAACAACAGATGGGTCACCTGATGGAAAGCGATTACCGCCGCCCAGAAAGACCTGTAACTCAGCAGTCATAAGTTGTCGTAAACTTGTATGTATATAATTCTTGTGAAGACAATTTGAAATAGACTTGTCCGTTCCAAATATACTTAATAATTTTGAAAGCGCAAAATATAAAGTATGTAATATCACAAATAATTTATTTTATATTATATATTTACAAATTTCGATTTTTTTTTTTTACTTGTACTCTAAAATCTTTTCTTTAAATTGACCCAAAAAAGAGCTTAAATGTTGGTATCCACTATTAATTTCATTGTGACTCGTGAATAATAAAACACAGTAAGTATATGCCAAAAGCCGCTAATTGTGGTCAATATTTCATCTGACTGGGCATGACTTAATCAGTAAAGCCACAAAATATGATCTCTTAATGAGAATCTGATTATTATTATTCCAATTTGTAAGGGATGTTAAACGCAGCAACAAAACAAAAGAGCTTTTTCAACATTGCTGGTAGAATATTCATAAACATTTTAATTTACAGTATTATGTAAATGTCTCTTGAAATGAAATGTAATTTTGTTTTGAAATCACTATTTCTATCACGTTATTTCCAAAGTTATTAACGTTTTTTTTACAGATTTTACCATGCAGGAGAAGCTGCCAAAAAGATAAAACTAAATATTGAGTATGCACGCGATCTAAAACTAACGGGAAATGTAAGCTTCATACATATGGCTAATTTGTTTTTTTTGCTAAACATATTACGTTTTTTAATAAATTCCCGATCCTTCGTTACGTCATAGTCATTTAGAGACGAAAATCACAGCAATAGTAATGAAGGCTAATAAAAGTTCCATTATCGTTTGTGGTCAAACACACAATGCACAAAACAGTGGACACGGCTGTGAATTTTTAAACTAGTGCAGGCAATACTGTCAAAAGTGTGTGTAACGTTTTCTTCAACGATATCATTTCTGTAAATCAAACTCAAGTAGTTAAACGCGAAGAAGAAGAACAGTATTTCTCTTTGAAATAGTCTAGAAAAGCTCCAATGCAATGTAATAGTTTTAGATATTTGGCTTGAGATTTAATGCAATAGATTCAATTTCGGTCTCGTACAGCTCCCACCTCCTTGAATTCCACTTTCATTTTAAAAAAAGAAGTACAATTATTAAAAGAATAAGATAGTAGATAAATTAAAGCGTTGTTAATGTGTTTTTGAACTATTTTTTGACGTGACAACGTCTTATAATTCGATGGAGCCGGCTGCACGCACGAAAAAACATGACTCTTGCGGCGTTACCTCGCTCTGAGGCGTTCTATTTAAGGCTTGAAGTGCAAGCGAGAGCGCGGAACGAGCGACAAAGAGGCACAATCGGCCTCCGCGTTCGGCAGCGTTCGATATCTGTCTAACAAATAAAATTAAAATTTTCTTTTGAAAAATGCAACCATTCCATTAGTATTTTCTTATGACGTTGTCACGTTCAACTATCGTCAGTAAACCGACTTTACCGACAACCGATTTTTTTTGATAAACTTATGTCAATCCCAACTAATTAAATAAGGCTTTGTGAAGACATGCTTTGTGAATAACACAAAGTGTTGTTCCATGTGGGGATCCACAACATTTAGCGTAGTAGTAAGCGACGAGGTGACCGCTTGAACCTCTACGCCATCCGTGCAGTATCACTCCGGTCCAGCAGGCCCATGAGTGCCGAAGCATGGCTGTTCCCACAGTACATAGAAGATTCTGTTATGTGGCTGTGTAAGCTTAGCTTAACGCTGTAACTACTCAACAGATCACGCTACAAGTTGTAATGGCTACAGAAAAGGACCCATTTCATTTCATTCAGAAAAAAATAGAGATTAAAAAATACATTAAAAAATTATGATAAATGAATATATAATACATGTTATACATGTAATAAAATGGCATATAATATATAAAACATTTACATCTACTTACCACACTGAAATAGAGCAAAAATAAGCAGGTGTAGTTCAGACACACCAGGGACTTCCTTTCTAGGGTATACCTGGTTCCCCGGCTATTAGTACCCGAGACGGCGTGCGGTTTTAGTCGGTTCGAGTCCGACATGTCACCGATAGGTGGTATCCGAGGGGATTTCCGCACGGAAAAAAAAAGGTGTAGTTCAGACAATAGCTGGCTCTTACATTTAAAACATATCTCATCTGTCACAATATTCACATGTAATTGGGTTTATTGTATAAAGTTTGTTCTGTAACCTCGTTTATGGTCACGTTTCAGCGTTCACTAGAAATTGCCTGACATAGGAAACTTAGTTAAGCTACTAAACTTGCCGGTTCTGGTTACATATTTTGTTATGAATAACATTTCAAATACCAAGACTTTTGTATAAAACATATAGGATAGGATAGTTACGCAAGTTGAGACCGTAACAATCAGCCACTGATTTTATCACTGACATTGAAAGAT